TTAGTTTCCATCAACAAACATACGGTACCACCAATTCCAAGCCTCAGCCCGTTCCAACTACAGGTCAACTATGATGAAACTGGAATCTGAAAACAACTTTGTGGGAATAACAGGACCAAGCTTGCGTGGCAGTTAAATGCAGATATAAATTACTTCATATTTCAGATTTTCCTGAAGCACTCCATAGTAAAACGTTGATAAATTTCAATGCATTTAGTAACCTTGTGGCCTTCCATTGTTTTAAGAGTCCCTTTGTCTTCACAATCTTGACATCGTCGAAATGCACACGGACGTGCTGATTACGTGATTGAAAAGTTTGACGCAACCATGAAATCCACTGAGATGATTAATTGTTCTGTTATTAATGAGGGTTTATTCTCAATGAGTTATCAACATTTAGGCCACATTTCATGTACAAATACTTCTGATATGATAAAAAAGTAACACAATACGCAAATAAAGCAATAAAGCCCATGGGGAATCCAATGTGTTAGTGCATTCCTACTGTATTTCACACGCGTTCATTAATATTACATGCATACAAACCTAGACAGTGTTTATTATCAGAATCAAATGATTAAACGACGTGTTCTTCAAATATTAACAAGGAGACCCTCGCGCTAACCAAATATACAGTACCCTTCCATGGTCGTTTAATTAATTTTCACGTGGCATGACTTGCAAATCCAATTAAAATTTGGAATGTTTCAGAATAAATTAAAGGTATTCTTTTTTCGTCTCATGAATAAAAACCTACATGTACATCTCAAACAAGATTGGGCCCTAATTAACAGCGGGGACCGACTAAAAAAGCGACAAAACCCGGTCAGGCTCTCACCTAGAGGATTTGCCCCTAAAAAGTGCACTCACAACACCCCCCCGATATTATCAGACCAAAATCATACAGGTACCCTTTGCCTGTCCTTGAGAAGCGCCGGTCGACATTAATTTAGTACCTTATTTAGAGACTCAGGCTTGTAATAAACATCTTGGCGTAAAAGTTTCAAAGACGCAGTGTCAATTGTGAAGTTCTCATGAATTATGCAAATGAAAAAATTCAAGGAAAGAAAAACGGAAGTAAAAAGTGAACCATAAAAAGAGAAAAAGTGCACAATGTCCACTTGTTTAATACCGTTCCAAAATTTCTTTTTGCAGCAGAAAATGACTTTTTACGTGTTGTTGACCTTTTCAAAGATATTTGAGTAGTTTAATAATTTGTTTCTCATATTAACCCTAACAGTCCCAAATCCTCCAATTTTAATACGATTTCACATACACCCTAGGGGGTTAGGGTTAATGAAAAGCGGTGTATGCTTCAAAAGTAGGGTTTCCACTTCGCAATGCTACCACGCACTATGGTTTGATCTTCAATGACGTCACTGTTAAGAAGTATGTGTTTGTTTATGTGATGTTCGACGGTTTGTGGAACAATTTATTAATATTCAGAATGCAGTGTCTTAAGAGATACTTGTGCATTGGGAGTGCTAAGGTCGGGTAAATACGTTATAGAGCCTGAAGGTTGACACCCTGATGGCGCGCATTGTAAACCCTTGGATGGGAAAAATTTCGTGCAAAATTTTAGAAATTGTACTCAAAGAAGGCTTTGTAAACTAGTTGCTAGTACATTAATTAATAGAAGCTGAAAAATTACCCAACATTAAAGATCCAGCCAAACACTGATCTCTGACTTCCGAAATGTAAAATATATGAGGACCAGTGCAATTCCGTGTTCTCGCACGCACTTACACAGCTACGAAATTATATTTTTCTGGAAGTCTTAAAAAGCTAAAATTACAACGGATCAAAATGTTTTTAGCATTCAAGGAAATCAAAGGATCTTATTCAGCATTTGCGAGAGGTAATAAAATTTAATCTAACCTTTGCTGACAAGAACTGCGTCAGGTCAACTCAAGGGAACTCTAGAACCTATCAATCGACTGCAGGTATCGTTTTCACGTAAGCACATGAAGTAAAAAAACAAGCATGAACGAATAAAGAGACCTACAAACAATATTGTCAGAAGTGAAAGGTCGCTTAGGAAATTAATTTTATTTACCACGTGATTCTTCATAACAATGACTTGAGGAACACAAAGTTAAAATGCCGACATGGGTGTTTCTTGGCGTGGTTTGAGTGGAATTGTCCTGCCAAAAATTATCGAACGTGATAGAACGATCCCATTTCAAATACCGGAAGCTCGCTGCGTGACCTTCTGAATTGCTCTAGTACAAATGCTACAGCCAAGACAAAAATCCCTCAAAGTGATACAAATGCTAGGCAATAGCTTTACAGCCATTCGTCGCAAGCATTTTCCGTATTAAAAGTTATTTTACGGCTGTTCTGCAAGAAGTGGAAAATTTGAATGTTTCTTAAGAACTGATGTTAATTCCCTAATTTTTTTTATGTTCCTTCCATTACACCATAATCTTTTTTCTTGTATCTTGAGGGCAACAGTGTAATATGGAGATTTGTCTGTTACCATACCAACAGGTACACCAAGAAACCTGGTTACCAAGATTAATCTTATATTACAAAACAAAAATGGAGCTGGACAACAGAATGTATACATATATGCTTTTTTTACCCTCCTTCTGCTGTAACCGTCAAAAAAATCCTTCCACTTGATTTGCCCCAGTGCACAGACACATATGGGAAATTTGACTGATTTTGACTGATATGACAACTGTGTCATGAATATATCTTTGCAAAGGAGGGTTAATAAACTATATTGAAAGAGAAAATAATACATGCTATGTACGTGTACGGGTATTTTCTTTATCCGGTCGATTCTATGTGAAATTACATTGGGTTTAAAATGCTTAATGAAAGGTCCAAAACAAGAGTGTCAAGTTGTGTTGACTGACCGTTCTTGAGACCAGCTTACATGTAGGTCATCTTTGCATGGTCGCCTTTCCAGCAATTCTTCACTGGTCGAATCTTTGACAAGCTCTTTTCCAATGGATTTCTCTGAGTTCATCTCGTGCTTTTGTTTCAGTAAGAAACATGCCCATTTCAAGTCCTCTTCCCATAATTCGAAGTCAGTTGGGTTCAGGTGAATAGCCTTCGAGAAACTTGTTATTGCCTGAAATGCACATGAGCGTCAAAACAAAATCTTCATGTCCAGTATTTCAAAAGTGCACCACTGTGAACTGGCCATAAAAGTGGCACATTACATTAAAAAAACTAAGGGGCTTTTCAAAAGTTTGGATTTAAAAAAAAAAAAATTTTTTGAAAAAGTAGGTGGGCTAAAGTAAATAATTGAAAATTTTAATTCACTTTAATCAGAAAAGAGCAAAAAGAAGCAATGTTTTGAAATGCATGAACTACGTGTTACGCCAATGTTCTGATTTTTTTAATTTGTTTTTATTTGTTTTTATTTAATACAGAATGACTTCTCCTTCATGTTCGTGTGAAACTCCATGGGTGAGGGTGGTTTTTCAGCAGACAGGCATTCATAGCCGTTATAGGCCGGACAATTGCAGCTGAGTACCAGGTGAGCTCGATCAGCTTTCTCACTGCAGGCGTTGATTACCAGTTGCTTTTGTCACTAGAATGTTTACCAACTTGAATGCCAGACTCTAGCAGTGCTAGAACCAGTGCAACTGTGTCAAACCAATGCACATGTGCACCTGTACTGTTCAGAAAACCAATGCACACGTGCACTTGTTCTGTATACAATAATCTAAGGTTTAAGGCTATTCACATCAATCCATTCATGGAATAACACTGTCATCTACAGTTGTATGAATTTATACCACAAATATTTATATAGATGAGAGTGTATGGAATCAAGTATAAAATGGTTATCATAATTGGTAATTTGCAAACTCTGCAACCTTTGCCTATTTGTGGAGCAACTTGGATCACGTAAGCAGTGTGGTGGAAGAGCCGGAGGCGAGATATGCATGCTGCACACCTTCTTACCATTAAAATAGTGAGAATGACATGCAATGGCCATGAGCCAGAGACAGTTGCAACAAACTACGTTCTAAACTTAACAACCTAAAAACATGAGACATCACAAACTTTAGAAATGTTTTGGTGAGTTAGTTCGCAAAAAGAGTTTTCCCTTTATGCATAGATCTTTTCCAATTTCCTGTATTTATTTTGAAGTCTTGGTGCATGTTTTTGAAGCTGGATTTTCTGTTGGACAGTTGTCACACTGGGCTCATGGAATGATGGCTGGTCCATGTAGGTATCTAGGATTTGAAATTTAGGACTTGAAAGTACTGCAAACAAGAATGCTGTAACCAAAGTTTAATGTACACAATCGTTGGAGAACAGCCAGGATGAGAAAAAGCTGCTCCGTCTATCTGGAAGAGCATTATATCAGGGAGTGCTGTAACAGGAATTTGTATGTGCGGTCATGGTATGGCATTCAACATGGCCATCATCAATTCATACTGGACGGTATTATTTTTAATAGGTAGGTGGGAGTGGGTGGGTAAAAAAAAAGAAGTTAATTTAAAGACATAAAAACATTTGCATGGCCCCTTGAGATGTGTTTCTTACAAGTTTGATTTCTCCAAGGCCAAGTTGTGCTCTGCCAAGTGTTTGATGTGCTGGCCACCATTTGGCATTAGATTTCACAGCTAATTCAGCAGCCTGGACAGCAGGAAATACCTCATGAAGAATCAATAACGCCTGAAATACAAAAGCAAAATTGTGAGGATAATTAAATGACAAGATGAAAAAGCACATATAGGTAAAATTGCAAGTTGGAGTTTAAAATGTAAGGAAATGGTTGTTTTATTGTAACTTCTTGAGATCATTTAAATCATCAACAAAAATAAAACCACTGTGTATTGACAGGTTTATCTGGCAAGTTTGAGCCATAACTATAACTGGATAGTTAGACAGTTTAGATGCCATTATAAATGCTATAACTGGATGGTACTTTCCAGTTGCCACTATAAATGGATGATTCTTTCTGGATGCCAAAATAAATGGATAGACAATCTAGATGCCACTATAAACTAGATGGTTAGACAATCTAGATGCCACTATAAATGGACGGTTAGACAATCTAGATACCACTATGACTGTATTGTCAAGACAGTCTAGATGCCACTATAACTTCATGGTTAGACAATCTAGATGCCACTATAAATGGATGGTTAGACAATCACTAACGGTAGAAGTTGTCAACTCCTCTGGTGTTTCAGTGAAATCTTTGATAAAATCCAAGCGCGAACAACACCATTATCGATCTCACCACTTCTAGATTGTAACAGGAGTACTGTAGTTCCTCATGCTTCTAGATAAAAACCAAGTTAGTAAAACCACACAGAAGACAACTAAAAAAATAATAAAGCACGAGAAACCGTGTCACCATTCATTGGTGCCATCTTGATATGTACATGTACCTACAAGACTTCCTTGCTTACAGGGGTTTGAAATGTACATGTATGTGAGTGAAAATAACTTTACCTGTGCTTTCATATCCAAGATGGTTTCATTATTAGGGGTCAATTGGAGAGCTTCATCCCATTTCTTAAGTGCTTCCCAGTACCTGTAGGTTTGACAGGTTAAAAAGGGTATACAATTGTATTTTATCAGCTTTTGAGATTTCCCTCTTTCTATTTAAGACATCTTTAACAACATGTAAGTAGTTCATACTTTTAAGACCAGGCATAATTCTATTCAATACACTAGAGTCTCTGAAATTTTATCTGTCCTGATATTCATAGCAGATGTGCCTCAACCTTCCTGTACCTTAAACTTAAGAAAGATACTGCATATTGGCTATACAGAGATGAGATGTACATGTATAAACAGGTGTATAAACAAGCTGAAATTGACAGTAAAAATCAAAACCCCCAAAGTTGAGATTGTCAGCTGAAAAGCTGAATTTTCACAGCCTTGGCTATAGAAAAATTTACAGTCAACAAACCATATAGGCATATAAGACTTAAAGGTTTTCATGGTGAAAGAAACTAGATCTATAGTAAAGATTGCGGTAACACCATGTATTTATCTCTTCCAGGAGACGTACACTGTTCGAAACGTCGAGTTA